TTTTATAGGCAGTCTCTTTTTAAAACAGTAAAAGTCCCTCACCAGCTGGAAACGCTTTCTCTTTCCATATCCTTCCATTATGGAGCTGCCCCGACTTCATCAGCCTTGGCTGGATTTTTTTGTTGCTGGCTTGAAGAACTTCTCTTGCTTCTATCAGGGACTTTGCAATGTCCCTGAGGTCAGCAAGACATATTCTTCCTGTTCACTGCCTCTTTGGGACAGTTTAGGTCCGATTGGACCACCCACTGGCAAAAGTATTAGCTGTGGTCTCAGAGCATCGAGACCGCACATCCATATCGTCACGACATTGGCCCCTCCTCCTCAAGACCCTGAATTTTTTCAAGTAGAAAATATCAGAGAATAACTTGAAAAGTCATGACTGGAATATCTGATTCCATTAGAAATGTCACCACTCAATAACCTGATTCAATTATTGACTTTAGTTGATTTTGGAAACTAAGGTTTTGGAAGGGGGGGTTTGCTGGTAGTACTACTACTACTACTTCCTTTGCTAGTTTTTGAATGGTGGGTGGCATTTAACCCAGTGGTGGGTTGCGGATTCTGTTCCAACCAGTACGGTTGGAATGGGCTTGCTGGCATCCACGTGGACGCGCACAGCGTGCACACACATGCACATATGTCTTGGCACTTCTGCGGGCCTCCGCAACGCACCAGCTGCTCAGTGGGGCATTGCACAGTCTCTGTATGTGCTGTGCACTTGTGCGGAAGCACTGAAGACGTAAAAGGATGGTAAGAAGCAAGAGCAGGCCGGTGGGCCCTCCGGAGCACTGTACCGGAATGGTATCCGGTGCTCCGGCTGGCTCCGGTACGCCCGTACCGGGGCGTACTGCCTGAAACCCAACACTGATTTAACCTGAGAATCCCAGGGCTATAGGTGAAACTGGGAGATTAAGAGGGAAAAGGAGAGCAAGGAGGAATGCGAGAGACAAATCCTTTTCTCAGCTTTTGAAGAAAACTACATGGATGAAATATATTAGGAGTTCATCCAAACAGGAAGACATCTTTATTCTTAACTTTACATTCCCATACATATTTAAAGGTAAAGGTTCCCCTTGCACATATGTACTAGCCGTTCCCGACTCTAGGGGGCAGTGCTCATCTCCGTTTCAAAGCCAAAGAGCCAGCGCTGAAAACATCTCAGTGGTCATGTGGCCAGCATGACTAAATGCCAAAGGTGCACGGAACCCTGTTCCCTTCCCACCAAAGGTGGTTCTTATTTTTCTACTTGCAT